TTAGGTTCTACCGGAGTCGGCCTATGCAAGCAGTGACGAGGATGGAGAGCCGTGCTCATCGCGAAACGCAGGGAATTTGCCAGGATTGAGTGTGGGAAGCACAAGGTGAGAAGCGCTCAAATTCTTCTCCTTTCGAAGGTCTATTCCGTACGAAATGAACAATGTACGTAGAAGTTTCATTCTGACAGGATGGCTATAATTATTTTTTGAAGGAGAGAGCGAGCTCTGTCTTCGTCAAGCAATGAAAGTTATACATACATCCCCCAGCTACCCACTACTGTTTTCCATGCGCCGACGGGAACAGGGGCTAGTCGAGCAAGGTAAGCTGGTTCTTCTCTTGTCTTATTCACGTTTGTGCTCTTTCAAAAGAGTGGGTTCTCTTTTCCAGCACACGCCGTCAAATGGTGTCATTTGCTAACGTCGCCTCACGGCTTCGAGCGGCCGTTCGCCAAAGCGACGGTCTTGCAATTGGTACGGATGGACTGGAGTCGTCGGCTTCTCATCTCACTCGTAGTATACTCGATCGCAGGGATTTGAGACCAAGAGAGGATAGTGGACCGCCGTTTCAGGTAAGAGAAAGGCTCCTTCAAAGAGAGCAGCGGCTTTTTTCAACCTGATTGGTTTGCGCAACACGCTAGATTTGCATCCGGAAGCAGGAAGTATTCCACGAGGCCCACAAAATCTCTCGTTTCTTATGTAGTACCGTTGAGCCGATGCCTAGATGTGGAAGGCTAGTTGGAAGGAAGCGGCTGAGCATGGAATATGCAAATACGAAGCTACTTTCTCCAAGAAGTCATTCACATCGTTTTGCTTCTTTCGGATAGCTGGACACGTTCGTTACGACAAGACTGTGCTCATAATACCAACGTTCTTGTGAAAAGCCTTTCGAAATTCCACTCAAAGTGTTGAAACTTCGATCTGCGGAATTTTCACAAAGTCCTAATAATAAGTTAGTCGTGTTAACTTTTTTGCCGCAATCGTTTACTGTTTAGATTCAGGAGAACTTCCTGGCTCGTCTAGACTCGGGCTCGTCAGCTGGAGGTGGAATGTCGTCACGATTCCGTTTTCTTTCCGAGTTAGGACTGGCTGTTTTACCCACTGGTGGGACAAATCCGAGTTGGTTTGATGTCTTTTTTTGTGAACGAGTGACCTATCCTACGAGTTTATGATTTCCGATTTGCAGTTCCATTGGACTATGCTGCACCTCCTGCTCGTCCGAACATCGTCTGTGAAAAAGAGTTACTATTACAAGATGAAAGTCTTCCCAAAGACTAACAAGAGCTTCAAATTAAAGGTTGGTTGAGAATTTTCAGAATGTTTTCGATTTTTTCTTTTTTTTCATCAAATATGAAACTATAACTGATGCCTAATTGGTCGCGTCCCGTTTGGAAATTTACGCTGGCGAAGTGATTGCCGAGTTGCAAAAATAAAAAAAGAAAACAGAAGTTGGCAGCAAATTGAAAGCAGTGAAGCCGTGCGTTTCTTCAACATATTTGGCTTACTTCAGCAACTTACTGTTTGCAGGCTCGATCGCCTTTCCGTATCCGCTTTGTTCGATAGAAATCGTTCTGCTCTTTCTTGTGCCTTCGATGTACTGCTGGCGTGCTTGGTGTCTTTCCTAGCAGGCCTTGTGCTGGCAACTGGAATCTATTTCGACATTTGGCTTTTTCCTACTCGCTTTTACGGTTGCTGGCGCTCATGTGAGTTCTTGTTTCACTTTTTTTTTAGCACCAGGACAGAGAAAAAAACGAATGGCAGAAGAAAAAAACCACATTGTTTTCAGTTTTCGCTCCTAAAAAGATAGTGCAATTCCCGCCATTGCAATCCTCGCCAATTCATGGTTTCAATTGTTGGTATCACTAAGTCGTCGCGGTATACTTTGGCATAGGAGCCGTGATAGTGGCTCCCACTCCTGAGCATACATTTTGCTGAGTGACCCCCGCTTGATGATAAAATCCCGTGAAAATTGAGGAATCCGTACAGGTGGGTCCATTTTGTTCTGTTGCTCGGGAGAAAAGGTATGAGCTTGCATACTAGCTCATATCTAAGGTCTTCGAGATTATATCAATAAAGAAGTTACATCACTGAGGTTCTGTCAAAATTTCTATCTATTTCGAGACGTTCGGGTAGGTATAAGGTAGGTTGTCGAACTCAACGCACTCCTCATTGACTGCATCTTTACCGGTTTTGATCTGAAGTCCAAGGGTACAGACGATCGACAGTGATGGTTATTTCTGGGCGAGGGATATTCATCAAGGTCTGGCATCCTTCGTGAAATTAGTCCATTCAGACTGTACGAAACTTCTGGTGAAATGATATTGCTGGCTTTCCGTGACCTCTTTGCAACGTTTCTTGTCATGCTTCCGTTTGCGTTCACAATGGGCTGGTTACCACAGGTTTGTCGGTTTTCTGCACCAACCCAATATGTAGTCAATACGCTTCATTGATGCTGCATATTCAGGTCAACACATTGGCTCACCATATTCTTGAACAAGTGGAGATGCACATTTTTGGTGGTACAGCATCGTTGGGGGTATTGTCAGCTCTTATTCAAATTCTGAAAAGCCTGTTTGGTTGGGCATTGCTGGGAGGATTGTGAGTTTCCCATTCTTTTTACAAGTTTAATAGATATCAATCAAATCGTTCACTACAGATGCCATTTGGCATACTCGGTCGATCCAAGTACGACACAGACACCGGCATTTTCCGCGTTTCTTGCTGCTGCTGTCGCAACCTCTTATTTGCTCAGTCGGTAGGTCCTTCTTAAATTTGGTTACCATTGGCGTGGTGCTGTGATTATGTCGTTTCCCTTCCAATCTCTGAATACTTAGGTTCTCGTCGAATCCGCAGCTATTTGTGATTCTTTGTCGTGCTACAGTATCTCCCGAACAAGCACCTAAGCGGTACAGGCAGCAGTAGTCGCCTCTGCTGTGCAGCGTCTGGAGAACAAAACGAAGATGAGAGAATCAAAGATTCAGGTGTCGAATGATGGCTTTTCTTCGTTGGATCAGGTTGAAGAAAAATCGTTTCAGATGAACTTGACGTTTCTGACCCGTTACCGGGACGTCTTCGTGAAGCTGTTGTCCTGCGAGCGCGCCATGATGTCCTATTCTCAGCATTTCTGTCCCTTCTTGTGTTTGCCTTACATTCAACGTCGTTGTTCACTGCTACGCAACCATATTTTACGGTTGGTTTTACGTAGGGTAGATTCCCTTTGAATTTAATGCGTCTTTTGAAAAGAGCGAAGCACTGTGTGGCTTCATAGTTTTGAATCCTGTTGGTTGGTCGTGGTCTAGAAATTCTATCCACTTTTAGGCAATCATTATCCCTATCTGCATAGCCTTCGGTATTATGAATCACTATCTCTATGAGCAACTTAGAACGCATACACCGTGGAAACTGGTTAGTTCATTTTCTAACTCGTTACCTTTTTGTCGGATCGTTTTGTAGGCATGGCTTGTCTTAGCATGACAAAATTTTTGCATAATATTCAAAAAATATCTGCTTTTGATTTCAGATTGCGAAACCCATTCTTCATTCCCACGAATATACACAGTTCGAGAGCCCTGATGAGGCGAAACTTATGAATTTCGAGATCATTCATGTGTGGATGCTGGCTATAGAGAAGAATCTTGTGGGTTTCTATTTTACGAGCAAGTTGTTAAAAATGAGTCACTACCGCTTTCGAGGTGAGGTGCAACATTAAGTTTGACTGTATTCGCTCTCTCCCCATTTCGTTGTCCTACACCTTCATGTGGCAAGCTTTGCGAGCTACCCAGATTTGTTAGCGGCCTGTTCATTCCATTAGCTGCCTTATCACTCACTTCATTTTGCGGACGGACAGAACTACATACGCACAAACAAACCGACACACCAAAATTGTGGTTTATATTATGAAGTGATTAGATCCCTCTTGATGGTAGCGCTCATGCCCTGCTGCCGCATGAGAAAACGGTTAAGATGGTGGATATGCCATTATATAGTTTACCACTCCGATTTTTGCGGGGCCTTTCAAGTGAAGTGATGGGTGCATTATGCCACCTATGAGGTTAGGAGAGAAGTGAAACATCCGTGAAAAGAAGGGTTTTTTCGACCGTTCTTCTCAGAGCCGAAGTTTAGATCATGGCTCGCAGGCGTTTCTTGTATCATTCCAAATGCACGGCTCCATATTTGAAGATTTCTCGCTCATGTGCTTGATTCAGTTGTATCCGCTGG